TTGTACATTTTAATGGCATGTGGCTAATAGAAGCAGTGACACAAGTGGATATTATATCAGATATGTTGCATCTGATGTGGGGCAATAGCATATTCAATCCCGTGAATGAGGCTGGAAGAATAAAGAATTGAGAGTAACAAATGTAATGAAAACTAGGATGTTGCACGAGTTTGGTCAATACTTGTATAGCAGCGTCCGAATAGTGTTTGGTGCATATTCTGCCTTTATTCATATTGTGTATATGCTCCGTCGGAATTCACACACGCGAATTTCCGTGTTTGTGTGATTCCATGTAACACAATAGATTACTTCGTTGAAGAAACTATCGAAAATCACACAACTTGATGTGCAGCAATCGTGGCTTGCACAACTCCGCCATTAATACAATTTGCGATAAAAAGGAACTCAAAATCTGCTCTTAGAATGAACGATGCGATCTCAGGATGCAGTTCTGCCGGGTACAGACGAAGTTGGTCTGATAGTAGAGGCTAGACCTCCAGCAGCACAGAGTATCACTGGACTATGTATAACATCATCAGCAAAAAATAAACTTTGTCAGAACTGATAATCCTGGTCTAATTCTGCTTAACGAACTACGCAACCATCCGATCCAATCTATTGTTAGTGTGCAGCAGAAAAAAGTTCTTTGATAGTTGTATTGTATCACTGACGAGAAAATCAAACGGCAAATGTTTCAAATACTGAAGGATGTGATCAGTTCCGATTTTTACCAAAATGTTTCCACAAATCACGCTCTGAGGTCTGATGATCACACCAGATGGGTTGCAGTGGATTACTTCTAAGCTAGGTAAAAATAACTATTGAATTGCGATACATGTGGGAGTAACCGTTGACTATCTTGATTATATTAGTTTTCTATTCCTCAAATAAATATCTACCTAACCAATTAAAAAATACTGTCTGACGACGGCGATGATCATCGGAGGCTACATAATTAATATTCCGAAACGAGACCATAGTCACACAAAGCCTGTCTATTAGGAAGTAGTAAATCAGAGTGATAACGGTGAGGTTCAAATACAGTGACGATCAAAAATAAACTGGAGGTCATAAACCTAAACCCCCTTAATGCGTCAGTAAACTTTTAAAGTGTCTGCTTACACTATATTTATAAGTATAATTTTTTCGTTACAGTCAAAGCACAAGTCAAATAACTTTTGTTGAGAATGCGAATACTCCAAAAGTAACAGGAAATGTGAATATATGAGATAGAAGGTCACAACATGATTGCAGTATGGTAACAAGATCAAAATCATAATTTAAAAGAAGTTATGACTGGTAATTGCAAACCGACCTGTTTGCTACCAAGATTTGTTTATTCTAAATGTAAAGTTATGCTCACATCACTTGGAATAAGCATTTAGAAGCAGTTTCACTTTGCTAAGGTGTAACTACTAATGCATTTTCGTTGCATTTGTGGTAGAGAATATACTGTGGCGGAATATGATCATCTAAGTGACGAAAACATTCAAATCAACTGCAGCAGCTGCGGTTCAATCAACTTTTGGTGATAGCCGTTAAGCCTCCCTTCACATTTACGTTAACGAACTCTGCTCATTTATTATTTATCCCTAAACTTTGTGAGTCAATTCATTCGTGATTTAAATAAGTGGTGCGCAAATGTTTTGCATCAACTGATAAAGTTGAATGACTTTTCAGTCTTCAAACTATACAGACAGTGATATTTTTGGTAGCTTTTTGAGCTTGACTCCCAGCTATCATGCTATTTTGCTACTGTACACCTGATGCATAACGTTGTGTGAGGTAAGAGTAGGACCCAGCTTTGAAGTACGCGTGTCAGCTGCTGTGAACTTTTATTACACACCTA